ACAGGGGGATAAAAAAGACAAGACATAACAAACCACAATTTAAAAGCACACAACAACCATACCATTTGAGAAGGGGGGCAAAACTCTTTAGCCCCAGGCCTGTCGGAACAGCCAGGTTTTAAGGGCTTTGCGGAAGGCCTGGAGGGTGGTGAGGGTTCGAATCTCCACGGGGAGTTCGTTCCAGAGGGTCGGAGCAGCCACAGAGAAGGCTGTCCTCCAGGTAGTCGCCAGCCGTCATTGGCTGGCGGATGGAATTCGGAGGAGGCCTAATCTGTGGGATCTAATCGGTCTGTTGGAGATAATTGCAAAGTGCAAAGACAAAGGATGAGCTTGGCTTTCTAGAAAGAATGTTGTTATGGCTACATAGCATCTAACTCCGTACAATCCCATTTTCCCACCATAGAAAATGCATAGTAGAATAACAAAGTGTGGCAGGCCAAAGATCCCCAAAAAAAGATGGATGCAGGCCTGACAACACTTTTGGGACAACCATGACCTGGATGACTGAGAATCTCCCTAGACTTTTGGCCGATGGGGTATCTGGCTTGTGCGGCATTTGGGGGGAAGAGAGAGGGGTGCCAGGCCTCCCCTAGGCTTTCAGCTGATTTTTTTTAACGCAGCTTTATTATTATTATTATTTATTTATTTTGGCTTTGGAGTTACGACTGGTTACTTCCTCCTCTCCTCCTTTTCTTGTGTCTTCCCCTCCTCCAAAGCAGCGGGTGTCCCAACGGGTCTCGTGCTTGAAGAGCCGCCGTGGTCTTGCCTGCCTGCTAAGGAAGCGCATTCGGGCCCTGCATTGTTGCATGCATCAAAAAGCAGCTGGCCTTTGCGATATTCTCCGCGAAGAAAACTGGGGGGGGGCTTAACACGGGCATTTTTGTGACCGCTGTTTTCAAGAGGCCGTTTAACTCAGGCAAAGGAGGAATCCCGACCGTTAATTCTGAATCCGACTCGGAAATAAAACCACTTGAGCACCGTGTTTGCACCCGCTGCTTGAGGATGTTGTAGAGCCCCGTTTCTCCTCCCCCTGCCCCGCACCGCCTTCCAAATATCACCGGCAGTTTTCTTGTTAAACCAGTGTTTCTGTTGTTGCAGCTTTTGTTCCAGCGCCCCCCGTAGCTCCTGTTTCTGCTCCGTCCCCCATGCCTCAAGTCCACCCCCCACCCCCCATGGAGGATGAGCCGGCCTCCAAGAAACTCAAGTCCGAGGAAAACCTGATGCCGGAGGAAGAGTTTCTCCGCCGAAACAAGGTGCAGAGTCATGCCCTTTTATGCCATGCAGGCGGTCCTCGGCTTACGACCAAAATCAAACCCGAAATGTCCATAGCTAAGCAAGTTTACTTGCTAAGGGAATCACAGCAGTTGTTAAGTTCGGGGGTCGAGTCAATCTGGCTTCCCCATTGGCTTCGTTTTTTGTCGGAAGGTCACAGATAGTGACCCCGGAAACACCGCAACGGTCATAAATTCATGCCAGTTGGCAAGCGTCTGGATTTTGATCACATGACCACAGGGACGTTGCAGTGATTACAAGGGTGGATAAAACGTCATAAGTCACTCTCTTCAGTGGCCTTATAACGTCGGATGGTCGTTAAATGAATGGTCGTAAGACAAGGACTAACTGTAACCTTTGTGGTAAATCTGGGGTATGTCATTTCCTTGGGGCCGGTTTAGCTAATTTCACACATTTTCTTGGGGCAGTGTTTCTGAAGCTCGCCCCCTTTAAGAAGTCTGGATTTCAATTCCCAGAATTCCCCAGCCAGCTCTGCTGGCTGGGGAATTCTGGGAGTTGAAGTCCAGTGTCAGGGTTCCAAGTAACCTACCCACAAACAAAATCTCTGAGGAAGGTAGATTTCTTAAATAATAAGTTTATTGGATATGTGACATTGGCACCGGCTGGTGAAAACCGACTCTTGAGCATTCCTGCAGTTTCCACGTAATCAAAAGTAAAAGTTTTTCACTTTCTCAAAACAATCAGTCGCATGGTCCAATCGGGATACACCTCCAGTTGCTAAGTGACTCCAGTCCCCTCTTTCCGAGCACCTGCAGGAATGACCTTGGTTCTCAAGAGAAAATATTTTGCTTTGACTAAAACAACCCAACTCTATTCCCCTCCTGTCCCTCCAGTGTGTCAGGGCTCAAAATGGCCTCTTCGGGGGTTGACATCCAGACTTCTGAACACTGCTTGAGAAGTTCTATTCTGATAGTCCTAGACTTACGACTATAATCGAGCCCGCAAATTTGGCCATATGTTGTGACAGTCATGAATGGAAGGTTGGAACCAGCCCTTTTCTGAAACAATCCAGAAAGGGCCGGCGTTGCATCTAAAACTCAAATTTCAGTGATTTTCCTTAATTTCTCCTCCTCCTCATTTCTGCCCCGCCAGGGTCCAGTTACCGTCAAGGTCCAGGTCCCGAACATGCAGGACAAAACGGAATGGAAGCTGGGTGGCCAAGTCCTGGTGTTCACCCTCCCGCTCTCCGACCAGGTATGTCGGTTGGCCAACATTCTACAGGTAGAACCGTTCGTTCAGCGGCCGTTCAGAGTTATGGCGTCAGAAACATTGCGCGGGGGGGGGGAAGGGAGGTGGGGTCTTAGGGGGGAGGGGGGAAATATAGTATGTGCTAGATTTTAAAGTAACACGATTGCACTTGTATACGGTTG